GCTCGAGTTGAGAATAGAACCGGAGCCCTGCAGCCGGCTCTTCATCACTCCTCCCTCCCGACCCGGTCCGRCCCGGCCCGGTCCTGTCTGTCTCCCTGAGCTGTCAATACAGCCTGATGGGCCTTTTAGACACTTATCAATATTTAAGCAGCCTCCCACATTGACTCAGCAATTACCRCCTAATTGATCTGAGATTGATTATCATTAGCACCATAATGGTRGAGTCGGTCAGAGGCAGGAGTTGATAAAAGTCCTCAGTGTAAAATTACATCATCTTTTTTTAGCCGGCCGCTGTGTGAAGTGGAGGAAGCGCCCGTAACGAGGAGAGATGGACGAGGAGGAGCGCACGAGACCCAGATTCCAGCCGACATGTCGTTGCATCTGTCCAGACAAACAACTCAGAGCCTTCATGTTCATTCATCCATTTCATATAAAAGTAGCAGTGTTGCAGTACTCAGGACCAGTTTCAATACTTTTTTTTGATGGTCTCGTCTTGTCTCGGACACCCAGGACTTGGGATYTTATTTCAAGATGAGTCAAGACCTCAACTGTGGAAATATCACTAAATGGTCAGATTATGGTCCAGTTTATTTAACATCTTTGCTTTCATTGGATGTAAAATATTATATTTCAAATCAAAGTGTGATTCATTGATATTTATGTATTTTTGTTACCGCTGTCACCATCTTTCACCCGTATGCGGCGCTGCAGCGAGCAGTGGTTGTCTGAGAGAAGATGTCTGCAGAATCTTCAGTAAAACAATTCATAAATCATGAAGAATATATTTTAAAACAACTTCCAGGAGGAAACAAACRTTCTGCAAAGATTCATTTTTAGAGACTTAGAAATGAAGAACAAAGAAAGCTGAGCTATGTGTAAGTGATGTTAGCAAAKCAAGCTAGCTAACATTAACCCAGGATTTAGTCAGTGTTAGCTACGTATTAAGTTAGATACCTGTGTATGCCTACAGTACATTGTTTGTACTTGTACTTCAAATTGTATGTATGTCAGGGTTATTCAACTAAATTTGTCAGGGGGCCACGGTTACTCAAAGCCAACAGCTCAGGGGCCGGACCCCCCCCCCCCCAACCCCCATTAATGCTTGGTGAAACACTGCAGCATGTAATGGAACAAGTATTATCTTTTACCTTTTAAATTCGTTTATTTTATTGTATCAAAACATAGATTTAAAATTTTCAAATGATTTGAAAAAAATATTTTTTTTTGGGGGGGGGGGGGTGCCCCCCCAAAAAAGTTGAATAACCCTGCTGTATGTTTTAAGGCACTAGTTTCATATTTATTTATTTGTTTATTTTCTGGTCTTGGTCTCGACTTGGTCCAGCTCCTATAGGTCTTACTCTTGTCTCGGTCTGTCCTGGCTCCTAGGTTTGGTGGTCTTGACTGCAACACTAGAACGTATCACATTTTGAATGGTTTGCACGCCACCTTGCATGCCAGAGTTTTAACCATATACTCTATATGATCTGTCAGCACTCACAATATGTTTTGAGAATGACTCTCAGCTACTACCACCCCAAATTTTGGCTCAATATCCGTAAAACTGACCGTGTTTTAGTCATTTCTGTTGTACCTCTCTGGAACTGCATTCACTCCAAATATTAATCAGTTGTAWTGATCTAAATATCAGCTTCTAGAACAAAAGTGGAACAGTTCTACCAAAAATAACCCCTGATTTTCACACGGCTCCACAGACACTGAGCTGTGGGTTTTTGTGTAACCGGTGTGTCGTCGCTGCCAGCAGCAGGGCTCAGCTACAATCCAACTTGTGCCTGATCAGGGCCCGGCTCTGAGCCCGTCTGCTGCACGGACTCTGAGCGGCGCCTCGTCACATGAGACGGCACATTACGGTAGTTTTAAGGTTTGACTTAAACAGCTATACTCCTRTGTCATTTCTCAGCACGAAACGTTCTTAGTCTCAAACTCTGGCAGCAGATATACCAAAGTTTAAAAAAAAATGAACCTTTAGGTCTAATAAGGACCTCTTTGCTGGTGGTGCTGGGCTTTATTTCTAAGGAGAACATGTGATGGAGTTTTATCCTCCTGCAGAGTAAGAGGTATTCATCGACCTCCTTAAACACGACAGCTTAGTGGAAGGACCAGCGCAGGTCGTTAGCCTGCTGAAACACATCCAGCCTCATTTGTTTTTGAAGTGATTATGACCGCACAATAGGCTCATTAGGAACCATGCTCACCATTCTGGAGAGACTGTTTGTGAAGCATTAACTTCCACTGATTAAAAACGGAGCCCGGGCCGTGACGGCACAACTTCTCTCAGCTGCATGAAAAYTAAAAACGCTGCGTTTAGCTGATGTCGTGAATGACAAGCGAGAATCTGTCACGGGTTCAACGAAAAGATGTTCTGGAGGAACAAAGAAACAACAAACCAGGGATCCCCAAC